CACACCAACCGCATGGCTTTTGTCAATATTAGTTTGGAAAGTTCTTCATAACATGGCCTTGTCGTAAAATTTGTTTGTTATGCAACAGAATCCGTCTCTAAGTATCAATCTTATTATTATGAAAAAAAAAACAATTCGGAGTATTTAAATTGTTGTAAAAGTTTTATGTTTAGTAAAAAGAAAATTTAAAAGTCAATAAATTGCTATATTATCAAAATTTACTGATTAAAAGCAAAAAAAATATTTTGCAAACGGTTTAATTAATACATGGCTGAAATAATGAATAATATATATTTTGTAGTGTTGATGAATCACCATGGGTTCCCAAGCCATATGATTGTATTTATAGTAACCTTTTTATGTAAAAATCAAAAGAACTGCTGAGTCCTAGCTAATTTCCAACAATATTTCCTTTAATTTACAAGTCTCGAAAAGTTAATATAATTTTTTCCTTTGGTCATTGTTTCCGGCTGGAATTTTGTTTGATGGGTAATGGATTCAAATCATGTCTTTATAATAATGTTGTAAGTAATGTAGTATGACGAAAAATATTTTAAAAAATTAGTAAATTTTATTTACTTATCCTATTGATAAAATATTTTTATCATTATTATAGCTTTGTTTTTGAAAACTATACCGATGTTTTTACATAAGTTAAGCAACACAACCTTATAATTGTTTACAGCACAGTTTTATTTATTTTATCATTGTTTTATCATTTTATCATTATTTTATCATTTTAATCATTATTTATCATTATTTTATCATTATATCATTGTACTTACCTGTGATTTAAGTGTATTGTGAAGTAAATTTTAAAATGCCAATAACTATTCAACTTTAACTTTTTTGTTTTTTTTTCATTTAATTTTTATTCTATAAATATAATTACATTTATGAAAGAATGCCGATAAGTTGTTTACAATTAATTGTTTACAAATTAGTAGATACCTCCAGTAGCGTATCTACTAGAGCTAATATAATAAAAAAAATAAAAACAAAAGGGGGAAAAACAATAAAATGTAGTAAATGAAAGTAATATAGTTAATTAAATTATAATAGGTCTCCAGGTATTTAACTTTTGAGCCTGATCGGCTGGACTTTCTGGTATAAATGACATGCTAGTTGATTAGGATGGACGTCAATTCTGTTCTTATAATTATTGGCAACCATTGATATGTTCTTGAATTGTAGTGGCTATGTCTGTGCCTTTGTGTAGGATCCATCTTTGCGTGTAGCGAGGAGCGTTTATTATTTGTTGTAACTTATTTATTATTATTTATAACACAAAAATATAACTAGTGGGGTGGGTGGCATTGTGCCTTAAGGCATCGAATGCTTTTTGAACCATTCAAATCGGTTGATCCGTACGCCCGAAAACATGGGCGAAAATTTGTATCCATACACACACACATCCATTTTTTCTGAAGTATGCCAAAATGTTCAGAAACCTTCAAAACGTCGAGAAATGTAAAAATTTTCAATTCCGATTTTCGGCCCATTACAATAACTTACCCTACGGGAAGTTAAAAACACATAAAAAGCGCACACTGATAGCCTCATAGATAAATAAGCACTGATAGCCTCATGTTATGTTTACTTATCTATGGATAGCCTTACGTAGTTCAGATTTAGTCTGGCGCTGCAGTCACACACATAGCGACTAGAACCATAAAGAATTTGAAAAGACGCGCCACGATTAAGGTCTCATCTTTCTAGAAATATACTCTCTCTCTATGCTTCAAATGTCAAATAATGAATGTAAAAGTTTTGAAATTGTTTATCACATTGAAAAAAATTATTGGTAAAACTAGACTAGATTTTTTTTTTTTTTTGTGAAAATATTTAAAAATGTCGGAAGAAACAATTATGTCTATGAATGATCAGTATTTAAAATTGAACCACCAGAATATTCACCAGAAGACATTAAACTTGAAATGGAGGATGATTTTGATGATCCTGATGTTTTTGTTAAATCTGATTCGTGTTCTGAAGATAATGATACGTGTTTAGAAAGATTCATGAATTCCGAGGTGAAAATTGAAGAAGAAGTCAAACAGGAGTTAGTCGAGATATCAGCTTATGAATGTGATATTTGCAATAGATCATTTGCAGAAACACATCATTTAAAAGAGCATATGATCGAACATATGCCTAATAATAGCAAAGAAAGATCTTTCAAATGCGAAATCTGTTACAAGGCTTTTGATCGATTAAGTGGTCTGAAAAGGCACATGCTCATTCACAGTGGTGAACGTCCCCATGAATGCAATATATGCAAAAAGACTTTCACAATAAGAGGTAATCTGAAACGTCACATGCTGATGCATAGTGTAGTATGTCCCCATGAATGCAATATATGCAATAAGAAATTTACACAATTAAATCATTTGAAAAGTCACATGCTGACACACAGTGGAGTACGTCCTCATGAATGCAATATATGCAACAAGACATTCACGCGATCAGGTAGTCTGAAAAGTCACATGCTGATACATAAACAAGAGCATTGCTGTAAGTGTGAAGTATGTAATAAGGAATTTACTCAATCAAATGATTTGAAGAGACACATGGCACTTCATAGTCAGAAGTGTGGTGAAGATCAATGAAATATAAGTTTAAATATTGTAAAAGTTTCGATTTAAATATTGTAAAACTTTCTTGCATGTAATGTAATATATTAATTATATGAAATACACAGTAAACACTGCATAATATCTATCTTGTTTTATAATTTCTTATTCATATTTTAATTTTTATAAATTATTATTAATGAGGATTAGCAACCATTAGTTTCAGGTTCAAATATAAATACCAATCTTGGTCAGCAGTATATTATTATTCACAAGAAAAAAGTATGGATTTAAAATAATTTAGTGAATCATTCTTACAACTTATTTGTTCATGATAATGCCTTGAATAAAGAATAAAGAATATATTTTATTAACGCAAAAAAGGCACACTTACTTATGAGGTGCTTATGAACAACATTCAATAGATTTATATAATATAAATAAATAACTACTTGTTGCTTAATTATTATTATGCTAAGTATGCTAAAACTCTAAAAAAACTATACACTTTTGTCCAGTTTTAGTCTTGGAAAATTCGTGCTAATCCAGAGGTTGTGGGAAAGTTGAGATATTATTTTAAAACCTCGTAGAAAATTTACATTTCAATATAAAATTTTTGGTAGGAGCGCAATTCAAAATGAAACAATCGGTGGCGGCTCATACGTCAAACATCAAATGGTTTAGACTGATTATGATCAATTAAATTTAATAGGGTGTTTTAGATGAATATCATTTAACTGTAGTGAGTAGTTTCATTTGTACACAAAAACGTTTCGAAAGTACACAAAATATAATTTTTTTTTGAAATGTTAATATGAAAATACTGTTTTTGGCTTTATCACACTATTTTTTGGAAAACGTATTTATTTCAAGTCCTGTACTCTAAAAGCACTCATTTGTATAATTTTATACTCATTTGTATTTATAGAATATTTTTTAGATTATATTTTCTTTAGGTTATTAACTTCCCGTAGGGTAAGTTATTGTAATGGGTCGAAAATCGAAAATCAAAATTTTTACATATCCTCGACGTTTTGAAGGTTTCTGAACGTTTTGGCATACCTCAGAAAAAATGGATGTGTTTGTGTGTGTGTATGTATGTATGGATACAAATTTCCAGTCACGTTTTCGGGCGCACGGATCAACCGATTTGAATGGTTCAAAAAGCATTCGATTCCTATTGATAGGGAAAAGAGCTGATTAGTTTGTGATCTAGTGCCTTGCGATATCGTCACAGGTAATTTATATATCTTATACTAATGATGTGTTGTAAATTATGAATTAAACTAATATATAATTAATTCCAGGAATTGCTTTGAAAAATTTGCCGCATGAGACATAGTTTACTGTTTCAGAGGCTGCAAAAAGCTGGCTGCGACGTGCCAATAAATATTATACAAGGTATTTTTGTGAGATGTGTACTATATGTTTTTCCTATTTACAAAAAAATCATGATTATTGACTGGTTAGTTGTATCAATGTTAGTGCAAAATTTGTGCTGTGTACACATTTTTAGATGTAAAAAACCAAGTTTAATATTCACTCGTAATGACATCAAATTGTGTCGATATATTTTATAAATCTCTGTCTATTTTGATTGATGTATCGCTCTTAAAGAACTTACTCATATATATATATATATATATATATATATATATATATATATATATATATATATATAGATACATATACATATATATGCATTTATTCATTTGTTTTCTATTTCAGGAGAGAAAATCAACCATAAACTAGGATTGAATGCCGAATTAATTATATTTTTAATATTGTAAAATAAGTTATTTTGAATTAAAGTTGTATATATTAAATTTTGTTATAAAATTATCTCAGGATTTTATTATTTTGTAATAAAAGTTTACTTTGTGAAATTGTGTTCTTTTATTTTATTTTAATCCAAATTTATTTTTCATCTAAAAAGTAAAAAACAATTCCATAATTATATCCTATTCATGTCCGGTTTATGTCCGGAATATCCAGAACGTCCCATAGGTGCGACATATTAACATGTTTCGGATAAGATCAGGATAAGCAGGATATCCGTAAGGGACAATGAATGTCCGCGCGTGGATATCCTGTGGACATTTTCCGGGATGTCTTGTGTTGTCTGGGCCTCGAACATTTCGTTACGGTACGGGAAGTTCCAGCAATTTGCCTTGAGGCACGATGCCATGCGCCCCATCTGTAATCACTGTATTCTAACAAGTTGAATAAATCTCTGCATGTAAGTCTTAAGGACTTGAAGCGTATCATTTCTCGAGTAAAACACCGCTGCAAAGCAAAAAACTTGCAAGGAAACAAACAAATTCAATTCATAAATCCCGGTACGATTTATTCTAATCTCATAGGTGACAACACCAAAATCATTTTTGCTCTTATGGCAACACTTTTCAATTCCGAAACAAAAATGGCGCGGCACAAGAAATGTCACAATACTGTCAGATATTAAAGACTCGAAAAATGCATTTAATTCTTTGTCTGGCAGCAAAATTTAATAAAAACATTCGTGCCGAATTGTTCAACAAAAATAGTACGTATTTATTGCAATCATACATTACATAATAATTATAAATCACATTGTGTTAGTATTTGTTCAATATGTGCAAAGATTTGTTTAATTGTGATTAATATTATGTGTAAGTGGTATTTCTCCTTAAGGCAAGTTGTATGAACTCTATGGATGTGTTAATAGTTAATTTTTATTAATCAATGAGCAATCAAATATTAATTAATGAGTGCACCCAAATTCTGCAGGGCCTTATACTGCACATTATAAAATTTAGTGCAAATGTTAGTTAATGTCGACAAAATGTTTAAATATTATACATTATTTAATGAAAAACGACCCGCCCCCAATACATACACGATGTATTTTTTAAAAACGTATATTTATGATCAGATCACTTTTTGCAGGTCTATAATATTTTACGGTGTTTGTCCAAACTAAGTTTGCAACCTTTATTGTACTGTGGACCCTTTCGGCTTTCCTATGGATCTCAAATACGATGAATTTTTATAATCAAATCACTTTTTGCAGGCCTATAATATTTCATGATGTTTGTTTAAATCAAGATCCAACTTTTTTTGTGCCGTGAATCATTTGGGCTTTTCTATGGACTCCAAATATAATGAATTTTTATAATGAAATCACTGTTTCCAAGCCTATAGTATTTTATGGTATTTCTCCAAACCAGGTGTTCAACCTTTATTGTGCAGTGAGCCATTTGGGACCTATCCTAAGGACCCCAAATTTAATGATTTTGTGTAATCCACTCAATGCTATTGCAGGCCTATAATATTTCATGGTGTTCATTTAAATCAAGTTTCCAACTTTTTTTGTGCCGAGGATCCTTTGGACTTTTCTATCGACCCCAAATATAATTAAGTTTGATAATCAAATCACTTTTTGCAGGCCTATGATATTTTATAGTGTTTGTTCAATCCAGGTTTTCCAACTTTATTGTGCCATGGACCCTTTCGGCTTTCTTATGGACCCCAAATATAATGAATTTTTATAATCGAATCACATTTTGCAGGCCTATAATGTTTTATGGTGTTTCTTTACACTAGGTTTTCAAACTTCTTTGTGCCGTGGATCCTTTGGGCTTTTCTAATGACCCCAAATGTAATGAATTTGTGTAATCGAGTCAATTTCTGCAGGCCTCTAATTTTTTGTGGTGTCCATTTAAACCAGGTTTCCAGCCTTTTTTGTACCTTGGATCTTTTGGGCTTTTCTATTAACCCCAAACATGAATAATTTTTATAATTAAATTACTTTTTGCAAGCCTTTAGTATTTCATGGTGTTTGTTTAAACCAGGTTTCCAACTCTTTTTGTGCCCTTTTTGGATTTTTTGGGCTTTTTTATGGACCCCAAATATAATGAGTTTTTATAATCAATTTACTATAATATATTATAGTGTTCGTAAACCTGGTTTACAATCTTTTTTGTGCCGTGGACTCTTTGGGCTTTTTCCTGGACCCCAAATATAATGAATTTTTATAATCAAAACAATTGTGGGAGGCCTCTAATATTTTATGGTGTTGTTTAAACCAAGTTTTCAATCTTTTTTGTGCCGCGAAACCTTGGGTTTTCCTATTGGCCCCAAATATAATAAATTTTTATAATCAAATATCTTTTTGCAGGTCTATGATATTTTAGGATGTTTGTTTAAACCAGGTTTCCAAATTTTTCTGTGCCATGGACCCTTTGGGCATTCTCATGGATATCCTCTTTTCTTAATATTGCTTCTTTTTTTATAAATTTCAAATTGTACTAAAGTTTATTATTCAATATTTAAATTAATTGAATAAAGAAAGAGAAAAGTAAATACATATTTAATTATCAATATTTGGCAACAATTTTGTAAGGTTTAATGTTACATTTCCTGGCTAATGATGTCCATTATATAAACCTGTTTTTGTTATATCAGTAACAACATTAAACTTTGTTTCTACATTATATTTTACAACTATTAATTAGTTTTTCATCTTTAGTATCAAGAAATATTACGACAGTCTCAAAAAGCACAAGATATATTGTGAAGCTTTTCAGTAGTGATCAATTTGGGTCTTTATAAGCTCATCCACACTGCGACCACAAATCGAATGCCTAAGTTTGCTACAACATACACATTTTTATGAAAAAAAACAATATATTTATTTACTTTTTAGCTCTATTTATAAATATTGAATATGACTTCTTTTATAGTGCAATATAAATAAATAGATATGTGCTGTGTTGTGATCCACTATTGTGGACCCCCATTTTCATTTCGTGGACCCTAATTTTTTTTTTCACTAACATGGACACCTTGAAAGTTGTAATGTGACTCCTTTGGAAATCACCGGTGAACCACAAATCGAATGCCTACTTTGGACTCCCATTATCATTTCGGGAACCCCAATTTTTTTCTTCTCTGAAGTTGTTGTGGGCCCTCTTGAAAATTGTGGACCCCAGGGGGTCCATGTGGACCACTTTGGGAATCATTGGTTCAAACCATGCACTCTAACAATTTGCAACCTTTCATAATTTGATCATATTTTTTTTTTGAAAGAAACTGCTTGGCATTAGATCTTTACCAAAAAATAATCAGAACAATTCCTAAGTGATAGCATTCGAATTCTCCAAATCGGTTCAAGACTTTTTATGGAAATGTGTATGTGTGTTTTCGCAAAAAAATCCGATTTGATAATTTTATATTTTCTCATCGTTTCAAGTAATTCGAATGAGACCCAATTAGGAAAAAGTATGTGTGCGTAACTCGATAAGGACTAACGTTTTCTAATTCTAATCGGAATCTATACTGAAACACGTGCATGTTCTGTGGTGTTGCGCTACTGATTACAGTTGACGTCCACACTTAAATAAAATACATTTTTAACTTCCCATAGGGTGAGTTATAGTAACGGGCCGAAAATCGAAAATGAATTTTTTTGCATATTTTCACGTTCCAGAGGTTTCTGAACATTTTGGCACACCTCAGAAAAAATGGAGGTGTGTGTGTGTTTTGTGCGTCCGCATTTTTTCATCCACGTTTTCGGGCGCACGGATCAACCGATTTGAATGGTTCAAAAAACATTCGATTCCTATTGATAGGTAGATGTGCTGATTAGTTTTGGCAAAGGCAGGTCCAGCCGTTACGGAGGTAGAGAGCAAAGAGTGAAGAAAATAGAAATCGAGTTTTTGAGAGTGCAGAGCATCCGATTTGAATGATCCAAAAAACATTCAATTTGTAATGATTGGGAGAAGAGGTGATTAGTTTTTGGCAGAAGCAGGTCCAGCCATTTCGAAGATACAGAGCTAAATGTACAATTTGTGAGAACTAAGCATCCAATTTGAATGATTCAAAAAACCTTCTGCTTGTTTCGACAAAATAATTGCTTTTGGAAAAAAAATCAGTGTTTTTTTCAATTTTTTTTTCAAATTTTTTTTTGTGTATCGAAAATAATTCGGATTTTAATTTTAAATTCTAGCTAAAATTTTAACTTTGCAATTCAGTTTAATTCTTAGAAATTCAATTTTTATGAAGCTGATTTTGTTTAGATATCTAGAAGTTTATACAACTTGCCTCGAGGGAAGGAAACTTACATCTAATTCTATTTTAGTCTCAAATTTTTTGAATGACTTGAATCATCAAGAACTACTTTTATATGGTGCCTTAAAGCAAATTGCTGGAACTTCCCGTACCGTAACGAAATGTTCGAGAAATATTAAATGTTATCATATAAATTATTATAAATACTATAGCATTATCTAATATTTATAAGAGTTATATATAAACTGAATTACAAAGTAAAAATTATGTTTTTAAAGTATATAAGTGAGCTTTAGAACTTTAGCCATAATTAAAATTAAAATCTGAATTATTTTTGATGTACAAAAAAAAAAAAAATTCGAGAAAAGAAAATGGGAAAGAAAATTTTGAAACATTTTTTTTCCAAAAGCAATTATTTTGGTAAAACAAGTAGAAAGTTTTTGAATCATTCAAATAAGATGCTTAGTTCTCTCCAAAACTGTTGTTTTTTGCACTTTTAGCTCGGTATCTCCGAAACGGCTGGATATGCCTTTGCCAAAATCTAACACGACTTCTCCCCGTTATTACAAATTGAATATTTTTTATATAGATTTTTGTGCGATTACAATAACTTATCCTACAGCTAGTTGAAAAACTTATGCTATGTTATTTTTTTTAGCAAGTCGGATTTTTTGACGAAAACATACACTCTTCTTTGCAAAGTTTAAGAATGTTGAAATTGCTAAAGAATTAGTGTGCGATGTGTTATTATTGCAACTATTATTTATGTTATCATTCCCATGCATGTGATTTTCAAATGTCGTCGACTTCTATAACAATCGCTTGTTTGCTTGTTGTTATTGTTTACAGTTATTTTCACAAACAGAATTCCTCACACATTGTCTCTTTCATTTGCAGGTGTTATGGAGTTAAAATATATTTTGGTATAAATCTTTTGTACTTATCGAAATGGACAGTTTAAATTTAAACCATGATTCTGGTTTGGAGACTGGAAGCACCTCCATGAACAGCGTTAGAGAGCGTTCCAGTTGTGAAGCCTCCTGTGTCGATTCTGCCGACACTTACAATTTGACTGAGATTGAAGATGAAGATACATGTGAATATCTGCAAAGGAGACAGTCTGATGTTCTCTTGTACAATAACGATGTAGATGTAGATGATGAGGTGTACTCCAGACGTTATGCTAATAAATGTGATGAATACTCAGGTCGGCCGAGTGGTACCAAGGCTACCAGTTCAGGAAAGTCGACACCTAGACATAAACCTATGGAGCTTGTTGTGTCCCACAGCAGTCAAACGTTAGTTTTGAAATCATCTAGTCGTGTCATGTCTGATGAACATGATACTTATTCCCCGGAGGAGGATCTTAGTTTTTTGCGGCATGAGCACTCAGCTGATATGACGCCTGATGAATTCATGATGGAGGATGTTATGTACTTAACAGATGACCAGAATAAAAAGTATGATCAAAGTTTACATTCAGTGATATCTAAGTCTTCAACTAAAGAAGAGAAGCAGAGACAGAACGAAGAGATTGTTAATTTGGAATCTTCGTCGATTTCCTCTGAAACTGGATCGTGGGAGAGCGTTTTTCCTATGAGGAGCAACCAAGAAGCTAGAGAAATGTGTGCGACGTTTCTTATGAACGAGAAAGATTTTTGCTCACGAGATGGCAAAATAAAAGTTAATACTGGTTATAGATCCTATCCTGCCTCAAGACACTCCACGCCTGTTAAACATAATGCTTGTTTTATAGACGCCGCATCTTTGGTTGATGATGTTGACGTTTGGCAAACAAATTTTGAAGCTGGTACTTCAACAATTAAACCGACATCATTAAACTTCAATCACTCCAATCCTATTAATATTTTTAAGCCCGATAAGTTTCAAAACGAGTTATCAGTGTCGGAGTCTTTTGAAACTAAAACAATAAAGAAAAATAACACAAAGATTCAAGTACCTCGGAATCAAACAGTTATTCAGAGCATAATGGTGTGACGGAGTTTTTCGAACAACAAGATTTAGATTTTCATACTCGGTTTGAAATGTGTAGGCTGACTGTTGATAAAATCAGCTCGGATACGCCATCGAGTAGTCCTTTAAACGACCTGCAACAAAATAATGATGATATGACTGCAAAGTGTTTGGATATTGAAAATCTTGAAGCCGACTCAACACAATCTACAACTTCTGACACCAACAATGAACTGGAATCCACAAAAGCTAACACAACTTTTCACATTAAACGATTCATCAAATACTGATGCATCAGATGAAGCACCTGTTGTAATTGATAAAAACTTTCTCACAGACAATATTGTTTTACCGGATACACCACATAATTCGATAATCGAAGTTGACTGTAAGGATTCACCATATAAAACCCAAAAGTACTCAGAAGCGTCACCTATTATTTCAGGTGGTGCCAGTGTTGAAGATTTTGTTCCTAAGATTCGTGCAAGTCCGTTGATCAGAAAAAAATTCGACGCTACTCCTATTTTGTCAGGAGCATCTGCTGCTTACGAAGTGCAAGAGAAGTTTGAAGAAAAACAAAGAAGAAAGCTGTCGACAAGTTGTGCTTGGATTGTTGATGTGAGTGACTGTTCCAGCACTTCTTCTTTGGATTCGAGATTGAATCGTGAAACATCCAGGCGCGACTCTACGTCTTCACATAAATCTTCTTTAGGATTTTTCGTCGATTTTAACGATAAAAAATCAAATAGTGACAACTCCAGCGACGAAAGTAAAGGCAGAAGTTCTTTAGAGGAGAAAAGATCCTTGGGTTATTTTATTGACTTGTCTCATGAAGAACCGGCTAAACCAAAAACACCTCCATCTGCCGACAAATCTATGTTTTCAATGTTCATAGATTTTGGAGAAAAGTGTGTCAAAAGCATCCCTGATAGATTGGCTATGTCTTTACACCAGAGAGCACGATCAAAAAGTATTGCTGTTGAAGTCAATGGAACAACCAAATCTAAACAGGGAATGGCTAGAAGTTTAGGTAGAGACAACACTAATTCCTTGCCAAGACGGAATGGTAAAAAGGAGATTATTAAAACTCCTGAACACTCACAAAAGTCAACAGGTGAAGCAAGTGGAATAAAAATGGGACAACAACGTTTCTTAGTCTACGTAATTTGGATGATAAGAAAGTTACTAGTTTTCTGGATAGCAGTGCACAGGATGGCAAGGCTGATGGGCTGATTCAAATACGTAGAAGAGACAAGATAAACTTAAAACAATTGAAAGCGCCTGAATTTGTTAAGGAACCTCTGGGAATAAATCAACAAAATGGTGAAGCAAATATAAATAAAACCTTAAATGAAGTTACGTCACCGTCGTTGAAAAACAAAAACCAGTTGACCAAGACAATGTTCCAATTGTCAAACAACTTGAAGACACTTTACCAAACATGGACATCAATGAATCAACTAAGCGGCATTCCTGGAACCTTCCTGAAGCACCAAAACCGCCACAAAGATTTCACAAACGTGCCCAAAGCGTTTCAGAAAACAGTCTTCCACAAACTTTAATAAAATCAAAAGTTGGCTCCACTTATTCAATTGAATCAAACTTGAGCGACTTTTCTGGACGTTCTGGTTTGAGTTCAGGATCAAGCAGCGGCTACGCTAGAATGAGCGATGTTAATAAAAAACATAAAAAGGATTGTAAGATAAATGAAACGTTTGATAAAAGTAGTCCAGGATCGCAGACTGAAGGTGTGTTGACTGACACTGATGAAGATTTGACTTACCAGAACGAGCAGAATCCTGATACGGTTGATGGAAAAGTTGTGGATGATACAAAATGTGTGAAGCTGCAGTTGTAACCGAGACTAAACCTGCTCCAAAAATAGGATATACATTAAACTTGGATAGTGATGAATACTTGAAAAGGAGCAAGGATAAAGTCAAAACTCCTCAAGGTGTTAAAATAGGCTACACTTCAAATTTACCAGAGGATGAGTCTCCTAACAACAAAGTCATCAACAACGTTGCCCATACTATGGAAACCTTACAAGCCAAGATAGAAAAACAAAAACAGCTACTAGCGACTGTTTCAGAAAACACAGAGATGAATACGGTGATGACGGATTCTGGTAAATTTGTCAGGTTGTCGGATTTGGATAAGCCTTTGCCAAAAGTGGATCTGGTTAATGATAAACTGATGTCGAGTTCCACAGGTTCGAATAGGGTTTATAAATTGTTTGCTAATAATTATGAGAACAAGTATTTTATGTCGAGGTCTATTGGGAATCACACTAATTTGATCACGTCTGAAGAAAATTCTAGAAGTCTCAGCAGGCTGTTTCCTCATTTGAGCAAAGGTAATAATAATAATATATATATATATATATATATATATATATAAATATATTACACTTAAGAACTAGAAGCTTCATTTTTTTTTTCAAAAAATCCTAAATGTTTTAATTTTTTTTTAATTCATTCGACGTTGACGTTGAAAAAATTGATAAATAATCAAAATTCCGTAATGCAATAAAATTGATCAAAATCACTAGAACTCGCATAAGTTCATTGATTCTAATATAAACTAGTGGTGCATGGCATCGTGTCTTAGGCAAATTGCTGGAACTTTCCAGCCCGAAATCTAAATTTTTAAAAAAACTTTACAATTTACATACACACACATCCATCCATTTTTACATATATCTATTTGAAAGGTATTCCAATTTGTTCAGAAACCTCTAAAACGTAAAGATATATAAACAATTTTATTATCCTTTTTTTGCGATTACTATAACTTTGACATGACTGTTATTATGTTTTTTTTAACGTTATTTCAGTCGCGGAAACTTTCCTTATCTATGGCGGAAACATTACTAAAACTAGCCAAATTCTTAAATAAGGCCGTATATATACCGTTTTGTCCGCGTTTTTTCTAAAATATACATCAGACACATGCTTTTGATTCCTCACCTACAATTTTACACATACTGTTAGATAATAACCTGGGAAAAAATTGTTTGCAGAATCAGTTTTCATTAAAAAAAAAACAATTCCCAATACAATAAATTTAAAAACAGACATTAGTATTGCATGATTCTTACATTTTTTTTTATTTATTAAATTTATCAAATAAAATCAACTTTTATATTGACTAAAAATTACATATTATAAACATGCATAGTAATAGGGTCACAGCTGTCTGGATAGCCCATCTTTTACAAATTGATCACAGACTATGAACATACATATAAAATGAAAAATCTGTTATGAAAATGTTCAGTTCAAAATAGTACGTAGAGGAGTGAAGACGCATTTTCTTGATATTTTTAAATATAGTTTTTGATGCCTTTTAATAGTGTTAAGTGGTCTTTATTGGGTGTCATTAAGGTAAAAAATGAAAAAAAATATTTCAATTTTATAATAATTAAATAAGTGTGATAATGTTTTTTCCATCATCTCATATTCTCCAAAAGTCGAATGAATGAATGATTTTTTTTAATAAATAATTTTTTATTATTATTTCTAGGTTTCAGTAGTAGTTTACCGAATGGTGTCAATGTCAACATGCACTTCAATCGTAGTCCTCTGGAACTCGATGACTTCACATCGGACATCAGTGTTGGTTCCAGTTTGAGTTCCAGCATGGGAAAGTCAGGAATGGGTAAGATGATAAACTTTTTTAACTTTTGGAAGCAGAAGTTTAATTTTCCAATCAATTGGATTTGCTAATTTTATGTTTTCTTGACGTTTCAAGTCATTCTGAATAAATGGTGACGAAATTTTGAAAAGATCGTGTGTTTGTGTTCGTATGTGAGCCGATTTTTTTACTTTTTTTTTCAAAAAACGGTTGAAACGTATTCGAAATTTAAAAATTTGTTATATAAAACTCGGTAAAAACATTTTTTTTAGTAGTCTCAATTTGAAGTTAAAAAAAATCAATGTGATTTTCCATTGATGTCTTTCAAACATATTTATAATATTTGTTTCATTTTATTCATTATTTTATTTATTTCTTGTTTTATGTATTTTATTTAAGCGTGAACGTCAACTGTAATCAATAGTACCTACTATTGAACACAACAACATAAAACGAAACCAAACGCACTTATGATATGTCCGGCATAGATTCTGATTAGAATCGCTCAAGCGCGCTTAATTTCAGACTTTAGTAAATTTTTATAATAAAACCGCTTATCGTAGACCTATAATATTTTAGTATGTTATTTCAGACTTTATATCAGTTTAAGATTGTGGGCTAAAATGTTAACGAAAAATTTGACACGTTTCTGATACTTACAAGGAAACGACTTGGCCAATCGACGGCGTTTGAAATCGGTCCAGCCGTTTTTAAGAAAACGTCGACGAAGGACAAAATCGGCTCACTTACACACACATACATACTTTTTCCAAATTTGGTTTCATTCGATTCAGATTGCCGAGAAAACAAAAAAAAGCGAATCGTTTTTTTCGCGTAAACATAAACTTTCTTTCTATATTTTCATATCCTCAATTATTAATTGTTTTTCAAATATATTTCATTAAATAAGCTTTTAAGAATTTGGAATTCTGATATATTTAGATAATATTTTCATGAATCATAAAAAAAGTTTTATAGAAGACGAGCGGTCTATTATTTAAAAAATTATTGCATTTTTATAAATAAAGCAACACTCTTCATATCTTATAATATTTTAGGATGTTTATTTGTTCTTCTATTTGTTGTAATAGGTATGCATCCATTCGTAATATTATAAATATTATTGTAAACCACTATATAACGGTCAGAATACAAACAACGTAGTTAGAGAATTACTCATATGCTACAACATTGTAAGCTCAGGATATCCTTGACAAGCCCAGAAGTTATTGATAAAATTCTTTTCTAGAGCACAAGGCACAATATATTCTTATTCATCTATTGTAAAGCATAGTATTGCACTCTACAACGACATTGAACAAGTTATGAGATATTGTTATCTAGGAATTCAAAGTTATCCTGAAGCAAGTACATAAAAGGCTTGCATTGACGCAGTCTTTAGCTAGTTAGTACTCGGTCTTTAGTCAATCAAAAGCTGAGTAGTCATTTAGTTTTCTATAAGTTCAGTCGTAATTTAGTCTTGCACTTGTTTTTTTTTTCTTGTGTCGATCATGAATTCAGTCGTACTTTAGTTATCAATGAAGTCGTATTTTAGTTAATCATAATCAATCATACTCAATCATTCAGTTGTTCAAGTTATATGTGAAGTGTACCAGAAAAAAAGAAATAAATCAAACGTCTTCGTCTGTTTCACTGATCAGCCTCCACATAATTGGTGTCAGCTTTGTTAGCAGCAGAAAGAACCTACATATTGTTGACACCATCGCTGGATGGGATGGGCCACAACACTGTATAGAAACAATGCGAGTTTTTATCAAGTTTCATCAAATGTCTTAAATGTCCTTAAATTGATGCAGCCGTTTTTTAAAAAAAGCAGCGTTGAAAGATTAAATTTTGACAAAAGATTCAGAGCTGACCTGAAAAACTGTGTTTAAAAACCATTCTGTAACAAATATGTTTAACTATCAATTTCTTTACTATTTCAGATCTGAGTGCAGAAGACAGTTTGTCCAGGCAGCCACGTCGCCTAGGTGAAGACTTACTGAGAATGTTTTTGGAAGAAATAAGTCCAGACGTTTCAATAGATGTATCGGGACGTGTTCTCCGAGCTCACAAATGCATTTTGAGATCACGATGCCAATATTTTGCTGCCACCCTTGCTGGCAATGAAGTTGAGACCAGGGGAAATGTTATTGTCATGGATGGGTAAAATAATAATAATTGATCTGTAAACATAATAATAATAATAATTGATTCGTAAATATCATGTTTTTTAAGTTATACTTATGGAGCTGTGCATTTTGCTTTGTGCCATATTTATTCTGGTGCTACGAGACCACCTGAGGGTATCAGTTTGCAGGAGCTGGCTTCTCTAGCTGATCTTTTGGGTCTGGAAGGTTTAAAGGAAGTTACATCACATGCATTGAAGTCGACTTATTGTCATATGTTCCACAAAGTGAGTAGAAAAAAATACTATACATGTAATAGGTGTAAGCGCCATTTTACCTTAAGGCAAGTTGCATAAACTTTCCCATGCATATACATAATCAACTTACTTGATAAGAATTGAGATTGAGCTGTTTAGGTAAAATGTTCAACTTATAATGTCCAAAATGTAACTTTTGTTTTACTAAATATCCTAATATTTATCAAAACTATGTCCATTTTAGCCCTGCGATGAGTGCATAGCAGGAGTGTGCATGGTGCTGCCTCTTGCGGCTGGTCACGGCCTAGACGAACTGCACGCGCGTTGCGTCCGATGGCTCTGCAGGCACTTCCTGAGGGTGTGGCCCACCAGGCCTTTCGCCACACTGTCCACGGACTTGATGGAAAGGGCCAGGAGACACATCATTGCACATCTGGTGAGATAAAGGATAATAATAAGGATAATAGAATTGTAACGATAAAAAATGGAATTTGTTGGGATACACTTGTATTGTTGAAGAGTTGAAATTGATGCCATTGTTATGACCTATTTTTAATGATACTTTTTTGTTTAGTGGCCTCCAATGAGGAAAGAGATGCTTATAGTTAGGATCTATTTTAAAAGGTATTTTTCAGTTTAGTGGCATCCAATAAAAAAGAGATGATTGTAGTTAGGATCTATTTTAAAAGATACTTTTTTGTTTCGTGGCTTCCAGTAAAAAGAGAGATAGTTACAGTTAGGATCTATTTTAAAAGATACTTTACAGTTTAGTGGCCTCCAATAAAAAAGAGATTGTGATAATTAGGATCTATTTTAAAAGATACTTCTTTGTTTAGTGGCCTCCAATAAAAAAAGAGATAGTTATAGTTAGGATCTATTTTAAAAGATACTTTACGGTTAAGTGGCCTCCAATAAAAAAGAGATGGTTATAGTTAGGATCTATTTTATAAGATATTTTTCAGTTTAGTGGCCTCCAAAAAAAAGAGATGGTTATAGTTAGGATCTATTTTAAATGATATTTTTCAGTTTAGTGGCCCCCCATAAAAAGAGATTTTTATAGATAGGATCTATTTTAAAAGATACTTCTTTGTGTGGTGGCCTCCAATAAAAAAGTTATAGTTACGATCTATTTTAAAAGATATTTTACAGTTTAGTGGCCTCCAATAAAAAAGAGATGGTTGTAATTAGGATCTATTTTAAAAGATACTTTTTTGAGTAGTGCCCGCCAATAAAAAAGAGATTGTTATAGTTAGGAAGAGATAGTTATAGTTAGGATCTATTTCAAAAGATATTTTACAGTTTACTGGCGTCCAATAAAAAAGAGATTGTTATAATTAGGATCTATTTTAAAAGATACTTTTCAGTTTAGTGGCCTCCAATAAGAAAAGAGATAGTTATAGTTAGGATTTATTTTAAAAGATACTTTATAGTTTAGTTACCAACAATAAAAAAGACATGATTTAACAGATATTATAGTTAGGATCCATTTGGAAAGATACTTTGTAGTTTAATGGCCTCAAATAAAAAAGAAACACTTTAGCATAGACTTTTACCATAATCTATCTTAGTTCCAAATCAAATTTATAATTTGACATAATCAAATTTAATAGCCATTTAATACAACTCGATTAGAGATTCGCTTTTATCAGTTTTGCGCGACGATCGTTCAAGGCGTTACATATGTTCTTATTTATTATTTACACATGTCGAGAAGTTCATTCAACGTGCCTTCAGGTAAAATGCTTCTTACAACTAGTTTTGTTTCTCTGATCAGAGTCCTGAAAACGTCTTGGGTACAGTTCTGGATTGTGAATGCTTGCTAAGCGAACTACCAGAAACACGATGGGCTACTCGAGTTGAAGCACTTACTTTGTCATTGTTGGAACATGCTCATATGTTTGTTGCTGATAAATTCCCTGCTATACTAACTGCTAACAGGTAAATAGAAATAATACTTGATAACAATGATAAACCGGTAGCAGTATTTTTATCATGGTGAACCAGATTTGAAAATGTATTGCACTTTATGCAATAAGTCTTTGATCTGATTGAAAAACATGATTTTCCATTAACCCGGTAGTTGTTGTATTACTAATTTTTCTTTACTCTCAGTTTCTTGTCCCTGGGTGGACTGATGTGGAGAAACGTATCTCGTCTACGGACAACTTTAAATGAAGCAGCTTGTACATTGGCACCAGAACAAGCTTGTAGAAGTTACCAACGTCTGGCCAGGTTGGGAACATTAGTCAGGTGCGGATTGAGCACTTCTGGATTGTCTAAAATGACACCTGATAAACATAACAACCAGATTGGAGAGAAGATTTTTGAGATCAACCAGAGTGTGAATGATGGGTCGGGGGATATGGATACTTCTTGGCATCCAGTAAGTAACCACAATATTTTATTTATTTTATTTTCTTTTGTATAGTAGATTCATTTATTAACTTTTTTAGGAGTTTGTCAGTCTAGTAGAAGAGTTGACTTCCTCGGTGGAGCGATGTTTGGCAAAGCAAGGTTCGAGAGCCACAAGAGCCATTTCTTGGTCGAGACTTGAACCGAAGTTGAGGAGACGAATTCAGGAACTGATGACTGCCAATGGAAACAGTCATAATTTTGGAAATAGTAACAATGATTTGAGGATGGCAGTCGACAATAGGAATAGGACGCCGAGAAGTGCAAGGGTAAGGATTTTCGTATCAATAAATAGTACGTGGAAAATGAAACTTCATAATGTGAAAATAGGAAGAGGTAGAAATTGATTTTTAGTGAACTCGTGTTGGTTTTTTAAGACAAACTTTATTTAAATTGATTCAATAACAAATCACAATTGATCAGCACCTTTTTAATTATCATTTCAATTGAGTGGAGAAATATCTAAATCTATAGCAACTACAATTAGATGTATTATGGTAATTAAAATAAGTTAGGAAATGTTTGTGATCATTTTTTTTCAATATTTCTTGAAAAACCTGAGTCAAACTATAAATATATAAAAATATAACTATAAATAATAATATAATTCGATATCCTATTATTCATTAGAGTACATGCTTTAGTTTTTATTTTAGATTTATATTTAAAATAGAATTTTATCACCTTTTCCCGTCAATATATTTTTTTTCTTGTTGCGTTAATTTATGAAATATTTACTTTTTTAACTAAATTAAAAACAAATATTTTTATTTAAAAAAAAAAGATGTATGTGTGTGTGTTTTGTGTGCATGCAATTTTTTGTCGATGATTTTGGGAGCACCAATTAACCAATTTGAGTGATTAGAAAAATATTCGATTTCTGTTGACGAGATCACGTGATGATTAGTTTTTGGCAAAGAGTTCCAACCGTTTCGGAAGTGCTAAAAATGCCAACTCAGTTTTTGATAGGACGGAGCATGTGATTTCTATTTTTTTTTGTATTGACGAAGGCGTATACAAAATTTTCGTAATAAGTTAAAAAATTGACTCTTGGAGGTCAAAAATGATCAGTAGAATTCATTATTATTGATTCAATTCAAAAAGGTAAACATGTAAACAATTATTATTTCAAGTTTTGAAAATTATTAATATATGCCGCTTGCTTCTAATTTCAATAATTTAAATTGACCTGTGGATTAAAAAAGTTGCTCACCCTTGTTTTAGACTGTATTAAAATTGGGCTTGCAACAAATACTATATTCGGCAAAATAACATACCGAATATTCGGCATGCTCCAGACACCGAATACCGAATATTCGGCAACTATTGGCTAGTTTTTAGAGCCTAAACACGTTCGTATTAATGTAATTGTATTCGCAGTTGTTATATTAGTATAAAGTACTAAATGGTATATTCAATTTTTATGCCTAGGCTTGCAGCGACCATTCGGTTACTCTTACCAAATACTTAAATAACATATGTGAAAGCGAAATAAATCAAAAAGCGATTCTTTACATATATATGTAAATATATTTGAAATTATTTTTTTCATATCCCTTTAATATATTCATTTATACACACAATATTATTTTTTATATATTAGGCAGGCTAATCATAATAAAATAAATAAAATTGACCAAAAATATTGTTCGTATTTTTTAAAGATAAAAAGCCTGTGATAGTTCTTTATTTAGAAAAGCTTGTATTCAATATTATGAATGACTTTATTGAATATAGCGTATAACCGTTGAATGATTCTTAACATAAACATATAACAATAACGTGTTCTTTGAATATAGACGAAAGACATCTTCACGTGTTCGTTTATAATCTCAAAAATCGAAAAAGTTTAAATTATTATGTATACCAAATATAATAACGAATTAATTTGTTTATATCATATTATGTAAACTATAGACTTCCAAATACAGATCCATCGCAAGCTCTTTATCGCATAACAGATAAAACGCACAATATTTTAACTAAGCGGCGGCAGCTCCTTTGATTTTAAATATTCGGCATTCGGCCGAATAGTAAGATGTTATTCGGTATTCGGCCGAATATCAAAAAAGGTGCCAAATATGCTGATTACCGAATAATAACCGTATGTTCGGTGCAAGTCTAATTAAAATGTTTTAGATTATATAAAGATCTTCTAAACATTTGAAGATGTTTTGATGTGTGAAGCTGCTTTAGAGTACTTGATATTACTGGATTATTTTAGTTTTTTTTTTAAATGTTATAGTTGTGGCGTATTGAGTAAAGTGCTACGCATACATTTTTGCTCTATTTCTTTCTATTTTTTCTCCAAACCTTTAACATAATCTTATATGATGTCGCGATAGAAGTTTCACTTTGATAATACGATCTTATGTTCCTCATTTATCTTATGTTTTCTTTATTTTTTTCCTTTCAGAGTACAAGTTCGACCCGTAGCCAAGACTTAAAACAAATTCGTCAAGTGATCCACGCGAATGCGACACGAGCTTTGTCCCAAGACAACAATCGGCAACTGTATGATAATAATCGAGATGTTGTCCATAATGCTTCATCGAACAATAAACAAAATATCACTAAAATTCAAAACAACATTACCACAAAGACTGCGACTCAGAATAAGAGTTTACCAGTTCCGCAAAAGTTTGATAAAAATCAGGGAATTAGGAATTTGAAGAATCAAGCTGGAAGTATTAGTAAAAGTTCATCCAATAAGAGTATACCAATAGAAAACTCTAAATTGAAGGCTAAAGGTTCGGTTAAACCCGCAGACACGGCTAAACCTGCAAGCAACAGACAAAGATCACAATCTGAAGTAATTGTTAAAACAACGAAGTCTTATGAACTAAAAGCTTTATCAGCTCGTGTCGCCCATGCTAAGCCGAGGTACTTAGAACCGCGAAAGCGGGATTTGGAGCAGCAAGCACCGATCAAAAAGAACCAAAACATGAAGAACAAATTGCTGTCTTCAAGCGACATCAGTCGCACTCCAAGTCCCAAAGGTCGTGTTGTCAAAAAAGGTGAGTCAAGTAACATGTCCTTAGACAGTCTGGCATCATCGCAAAGACTGAAAACAATGTCCACAGACTCTTTAACACCAACAATGGATGAAGGCGACAACCGATTAAGTTGTGCAAAACAAAACCAAAATTCGGCGATAAGAAAACTAATAAAAACATCACGTCCTACAAAGCGACTAACAAAATACCTGTCAAGACAAATTTTAAAGTTAGCAGGACTTTAACGAGTCCTACGAAGAGTTCTGCTGCCAAGATGGTCCCGACTAAGAAGAAGGTGGTGAACGAGAAGAAGAAGAGTGATCCGAATAAAGAAAAGGAGGCTCCGCAAAAAATTATTCCGCAGATGGAACGGTCGGGAACTTTTGTTAAGGAATTAGCTACTGAGTAAGTTAGAAAATATACACATAGTGGCCTGATTTTGCAAACTTTTAAGGAATGAATTATAAAATACAATTACTTCAGATATTTGTCCTCTTTTTAAGTTTGCGAATAAAGTCCCACAATACATTTACATGACACTCAAGCAAATTTATACGTACTTAGCATTTTGAATAGTTTTTAATTTGGCTCTCTTACTAAAATTATTTGAACTATTTATATTATAATGATAATTATCGACTTTGAAAAACGTAGAATGGGATTTGTAATGGTAAAAATAATTTCAATTTGTAATACTTTTTTATTAACATCCATTTGTTGAATCAAATCTATTAAATATAATTGAAAATAAATTCAATAAGATATTAGAATATTTGCAAATGAAAACATAATGATATGTTTATGAACAAACGTTTAAAAAAAAAATAACTGTATCTATTTTTTTTGAATGTTACTCTACATACGATTATGAAATGTTATTTTTAATTAATCGTAAATAAAATCATAAATTTATTTTAGGCCGGATCAAAAATTTTGATTGGGGAAAAATTGTTTGTCTTAGAAAATTATACAAGTATATTAGATATTGATTTTCTTAGAAAGATGAGGAAAAAATGATTGATTTTTAAGAAAAGGGTTTAATATATACATATATTTAGATTGAAAAAAATCACAAATAAAAAATTCTATAAGTAATGGTATATGTATATATACATACTCGTATACGTATAATTTTTCAAACAAATCAATGATATTTTTTTTAATCTGCATATATGTAAATACAAACTTGTGAACGTATTTTTACAAAAGATCGAAGATTTTTTATCAGAATTATTTTTTATCGAATCTAAAATAATATTTTTATACTAACGCCTGTAGAGTTTTCAAACATAACTCTTTTACCCATTTTTTTTTTACAAAATCTTGCTGTCCTTGTCCTTCGATCTTTACAAAATCATGCTGTCCTTGTCCCTCAATCTTCACAAATTCAATCATAACTCTATCTGTCCTTGTCTATCTTCGTTCTTTCGCTGTTTGTGTTCGTTAACATTAAATAATAGTTATTATTAAAATGTTATAGGACTACATATTCAAAGAAATTTTGTGAATTTTAATATTTTTTTTAACTAATTTATAAAATTGTTTTCGCTATTAATTCCAATTACCGTATACAACTTTTATTTTATCCTATTTTAAGTACACAACTTTCAGTTTTTGAGCAGTAAGCTAATTAAAAAATCTATTAGCAATTTAGCATTATTTGAACAAATTTTAAAAAAATTGCACATTTTTTAATTTTTGCACTCATGTTGTCCTTTTCCCTCGAGATTCAATCATAAATATCTGTCCTTGTCTAATTTTGTTCTCTCGCTGTTTGTGTTCGTAAACGTTAAATAGTTATTATTAAAACATTGTAAAACATTTTGTAAGCTTTAATATTTTTTAACTAATTTATACATTCTTTTCGTTATTAATTCATTTTTAATACGCAACGTTTAGTTTTCGAGTAATAAGCTTATTAAATTAAAAATCAGTTAACAAGTTATCATTATTTGAACAAATTAAAAAAAATCGCAGACTTGTTTAAATTTTTACACACTCATGCTGTCCTTGTCCCTCGATTTTCAATCACACCTCTATCTGTCGTTGTATATTTTTGTTCTTTTGCTGTTTGTGTTAGCAGAGATTTTAGATTTTTTTTAGCTTTACAAAAAGATTTTTTAATCAAATAGTAATTTTTGTAGCAATTTAGTTATTATTTTTTCCATTAATTAGCTCTTAATTATTATTGTGATATAAAAAAACTAGATTTTCCCACACAGATGCTTGCTTTCGTTTTACAACCACAATTCTATATGTCCTTGTCTATCCTCGTTCTCATGTAAAAATTAGATTAGATTAGACATCACAGCTTTATCTCTGTCTCCGTTTTACTACCACAACACTATCTGTCTCTGCCTTTCGATTTACTACCACAACTCTGTCTTTGTATCTTGTTTTAATACCACAGCTCTATCTGTCTCTGTCTATCGTTTTACTCCTAGAACTCTATTGTATAAAGTTGTTATGGGAGTAAAAGAATAGAGAGAGACAGATAGAGTTGTGTTAGTAAAACAAGAGACAGAGGCAGAGTTATGGTAGTAAAACGAAAGATAGTGACAGATAGTGTTGTGGTCTATCCTCGTTCTCTTGTAAAAATAGATACTAACTACAGACATTGCTTTTCAACAATTATTTCAATAATTATTTTCAACAATTTTAATCCACGGCGCTAAGTTTTACTCTAACGCTAATTATTATAATTAATAACACTTCTATTGCCATTATAATCATGATTGATTGAATTGTGATATTCAAAAACCTAATTTTTACTCACTGCTGTCCCTGTCTTTCGTTTTACTACCACAATACTATCTGTCTCTGTCTTTCGTTTTACTACCATAACTCTGTTGAGTAAATCTGTTGTGGGAGTAAAACGATAGAGAGAGACAGATAGAGCTGTGGTAATAAAACAAGAGACAGATACAGAGTTGTGGTAGTAAAACGAAAAACAGAGACAGATAGTGTTGTGATAGAGACAATATCTGTCTCTGTCTTTCATCATTCTCTCGTAGTTTGTAAATTTTTATAGCGACTATAAACATTTATTATAGATTTTTTTATATAATTATATAAGTTTTATTAACAAATTTATAAATTATTTTCACCATTAATCCCATTCCACGGAGTCAGCTTTACTCGGCATCACTCGACAAATATTAATCTAATTTAAAAATTCATTATTATTATTAATAATGCAGTTATTATTATTATTGTTGTTATATAATTATATTGTGTATTAATAATTTTTTTTTATCAAATTAAAACCATTAATATCACGTAAACAGCTTTACTCGATAACATCTCTGGAGAAGATTAACAAATTATTATTAATAATATTGCAATTATTATTATTATTATTATTGTGATATATAAAAATTAATATTATTAGTACTTAGGGAATTTTTGATATTCTGTATTCACCGGTCCAACACTACTCCGTTCGTATCTCGTCATCTAGTCATCATTTAGTTTAATTAATTTAATTTTAAGTTTCATCAAATGAAAATAGTTTATACATTCCATTTTTGTTAATAGTCATGTATATTTTTTTAAAGAAAACAGTATTATTTTTTTGTGTATGGTAAATTTTTATGTTTTGTAGTTTTTAGTAACACGAAGCCATTCCATATTAAAAATCTCATTAGTTTGTAGTTGAAATATTATTATATATAAAATATTCTCGGAGAATTTACTTATTTACTAATTTATATATATTTTTTTGGCAACAAAACGGAGAACAAAATTTTTCATAATATCTACACTAGCCCTCTTACTATTTATACCGAGAGTTAACTTTTGTTCATGAAACTGGCTTGCGCTTTGTCATTATATCTTTTATAACTTTTAAACCATTCGATTGATATGATTTTGTTCAAAATTAAATAATCTGCAATATTATCTATTACATAACTAAACAAAAAATTAATGTAAGTTCTTTATTATATTGGTAAAACTGGTAATTGTACGTAAAATTTACGTAACATCAAAGTAAAATGGTTACGTAACTCGGTAACATGGTTTCGAATATGATTTTACGATTTCACTGGACTTATTACAGTTTTTGAACAATTTTGTTTTGTGTAATATTTTACAATTTTACCTTTTATTTAATTTTAATTTGGAATATTGTTTTTTTTTATAATTTGCCAATTACCGATTTATTTCTGCATAATTATACGTCTATAATTTAAATTTGCAATTTTATTAAATATTTAATAATTAATAATAGAATATAAATCACTATCACATCAATAAACACATCTGAGAACTCTGCGTTGTTGCCAAATTTTTGCAAAACTAAAACAAATATAGTTTGTTATGAAATTATTACTAATTCTCATAGAATGTTGTTACTGGATATTATTTTACATTTATTTTATATATATATATATATATATATATATAATTTTTACATTTTGTTATCCTTGTTTTTTTTATTTAGTTTTAATTTATGTTTTAAATAAGATCATTTTCCATGTCTCCAATTGGTTTGTTGGAAATTTATCCGTTGTGATTTTTTGATGCAATTATAAGTATTAAATATTATATATGAAATGTGTGCAATATGTTTAGCTAGATATTGTCAACGTACTTATTTACAGAAAGTTATTATTATTATTTTTGAATAAAATTCAATTTATTGAAATAATTAAAAAAATAATATGTTTTATTCATTGACTCATCGTAAATATTTTTTTGTTATATTTTATATCATTTTATGCTTTGTAGTTTATGCACTGAAGATGAGTCAAATGGTAATTCGAAACGTATGCAATATTTATCAAGTTCTATCTTAAGATTTAACTTAGTTGTGTTTTTCTAATAATTGGACATGTGTTTGTATAAAACATGTTTTTGTAAAAAATTCATTGAAGTTTGAAAGAATTGTCAGTTTTTTGTGTTATGAGCCAAAATTTAAATTTTCCTCGACATTTTTTAAGGGCGACAGGGCCGATTTCAAATATTAAAGGCGTTTTGATTAAACTCGATATGAAACTGCGTTGATTAGTTTTGCGAGGCGATCGGCCAAGCCGTTTCTTTTTTAATTAGCAGTGCAATTAAAATTTATTTTTTAATTAGAAGCTTTTTAATAGAAGTGCAAAATATTTCGACCATGTTTGCGCAAATGCTGAACCGAATTTAAAAATTCAGAAACTGTTCGAAAGATATCAGTTAGAAATTTTGATGAAACTTGAGGATTTTGGTAAAATTAAACATGGCGAAAGAATTTATGGCCTAAACC